ACAATGACAGCAACAAACACCAAGGTGAGTCCTGTCCTCTTTGATGGGTAGTGATGTGGCCTCAGGATGATCTCTCCCAATGAGAGGGGCTAGTATGAGAGTGTGCTGTGGGAGAAAAGATGCAAATCAAAATGGTAGCAGGTCCTGGCTGCCTAGAGAGCCCCTAATTCCTTCCCTCTCCAATCTATCTTCTTACACACTGCCAGGTGAAACTTTCCAAAACTTGGCTTAGAGCATACTCCTCAGATGCTCAAGGACCTACTGTGGCTCCCTATTGCCTACCATGTTGGTCCCAACTCATCTGTCTAGCTACCAAGGCTCTTTGTAATGTGCTGTCACCCTCTCTGGTCCTGCTTATGGCCCACTGTTCCCCATTCCTAACACACACACAGACACCTAGCTACCAAGGCTCTTTGTAATGTGCTGTCACCCTCTCTGGTCCTGCTTATGGCCCACTGCTCCCCATTCCTAACACACACACAGACACACACACACACACACACACTGGCACAAACACGCACATTCACATGCACAGGAACAAACACACATGCATGCACACTTACACACACATTCTCATGCACACTCCTCCGCTAGAACAAGGCCGTTCCCTTCACTGTCCTTTGTACTCGGTGTGTGGCTCCCACTTCCACACTCCTGTCTGTGCCTCGTCTCCCCATGTGGACCGCATCTCCTCTCCCTGTCTTCAAGTCCTCTATGTTCTTTGCAGCCGATGCAATCTTCCATCATATCTCAGAATTTTCCTCTTGCTAATTTCTGTCACTCAGCTCTACTGCATTACATCCTGTGCCATGTAGTCTAGCACTTACAGTGTATATTAATAAGCCTGGGGGGTAGGGGACAGGAACACGTCCTGCCTGTCTCCGCGCTCCCCGTGGCGCTCACGCTGTGTAGCTGAGCCGGTCCTGCCGAGGGTGCTTGTCTGTGGGGTGTGTGTGAGCCTCCCTCTGAAACTCCCTGCATCCCCCCCCTGCTCACAGCCATCTGTTTTCTCACATCTTCCAAACCCTTAAAACTAGATTTTTTAAAATGACACAGTCAAGAAAATAAGGCTTGAGGAAGAGTGGTGTTTTCAGATGCAAAAATGGCTGGGGCCTGCTCCCTTCTTGGTGATGGAAGCTGATGTGGGAAAGGTCACTTGAGTCTATGTGCAATGTCCTTTCATTCACTGAAAACACTTCTGAAGGCTTCTGCCACACACGTGCTTATCAGTAACATCCAGTAGTGTTGGAGTTGACACATTTTTACAGTTATGGCTGTCGTTCCTCCTTCATTCCTGCTCCCCGATTTGCTCAGCTCCTGACAGCCTCTCATACCCATGGCCTCCACCTGTAGCTCCATCCACTCCTGTTCCTGAGCCTCAAGGCAGCTGGACAGTGCCTCACTTATGATAGCCTCTGGAGCTTGGGAATGTCACCAGCCCATGCTGCCATGCTCCTGTGCCCAGCTATGTGGCTGAAACCCGGGCACTAGCTCTGGACAGCCCTCACCATCCTTGTGACCAGGAGGCAGTAGCTTCCTCGCGCTCCAGCTGAGCTAGTGCAGGCACAGTCAGGAGATAAGGATGACCCTCAGAGGACAAGAAATGTGACAAGTTTTGGTGGGGCAGGGGTGGGATGAGAAGGACCAAGTCTGTAGTTTAGGGCATCGTAGGGTAGAGAGGGCCTCCTGGGGTGCCCCAATCAAGGCCACAGACAGAGGCACAGAGCATGTGGGCACCTTAGTGGACCTGGGTACCCCATATTTTAGTGACAAAGCCTAGAGGAATGGCAGACAAGCCAGAACTTTTTCATGCTTTGCCCAAGGTTGGTCGTAAGCAAGCTGACCAGTTGGATATACAAAAGGAAAGATGCCCAGGCCCACTGTCACGCCTGCATCTTTCTGTGCTCTGATTTTAGGCAGCGGCCTCTGCGTGTCTCCCTCCAGCAAAGGAGCCCAGTGTTTATGGGCATACACTTTCGGATCTTACCGTGGGCTGGTTACTGAATGTCCCTGAACGTCGGCTTCCCCACTTACAAGATGGGAACAGTAGATGGTACAAACCTCCTGAGAGGCTGCTGTGGAGACTGAGGTAAGTCCATGAAAATGCTTAGTGCTTGGCTCATGAGAGCATCCGGGAAGCATTAGCTGTGGTCGTCACTATCATCCATTGGCTAATGTTCTTCGTCTCATTGGTGGGTCCAGGTTTGGGTGAGGGCAAAGGCCTGGGATATCCATGCTCCCAGTGCTTGAATGAACCCTGGCCTGTGGTCTGCAAGGGGCTGTTGCTGCCAGCCACTAGAGTGTGGCAGCAGAGCCCTCCCTCCCCAGCTCCCAGCTGTTGTCCATGCATCTAGCCATGGCCACTCCAGAGCCCTGACAACACTCTTCATCCAGAAGCCACCCCAGGAGGCAAAAGATGGAGCTGTCGCCCAGCGCAGCCACCTGCCTCTCTGCCCACCCTCACTCTGCTGCCGCACTCCAACTTCCACAAAGAACCACTCAGAGGCCCATTACAGCGGCCGTTGACCTGACAGATTTGATTAACCCTGCCTGCAATCAGCAGCTCCCATTCTCTAAGTAATGATCACCAGGAATAGAATTCCTGTGGAATAATGCAGTGTGTTCACGTTAGGAGTAAATGAGATCGTGGTGATTAATGCTTTTACAACAAACAAGTCAGGAATGCATGACTGGTCATCTCCTCGCAGAGCCTGCCCTTTGCAAGTGACATTCAATTGGATTTCCAAATGAATTCTCCCTGATAGCTTCTGGGAAGTTACTTCAGTGATGTCATTAGTGATGGGCCATATACTGAAGCTTCATACTAGCTAAAAGGTCTTTAAAAGAATCACATTTTCTGGTCGGGTCTGGGGTAGGAATGAGGGAAGGAGGAAGACTCTATTCTGGGAGCTTTCTAAATCTCAAGCTATCATGAAGAGCCAGGCATGGCACAACAAGCCTCCTGGTATTTTCAATGTACCAAATATCTCCTGGTATTTCAGTAAAACTCACCTCATGTTGACATAGTTATACAACCTTGTCAGACAGCACACATTTTTAAAAAAAAAGAAGAAGAAGAAAATTTAGTAAGAGAAAAATCAGATATGCTTTCTGTTTCCAAAAAATCTAATAATTAGTCTGGGATTGACACAAATTAGAATGCTGCCAAAAATTACTGAAAACAGTGACTCATTCTGTATTAAACTAACAGTTTCTCAGTTTCCCTTATAAACAGGGAAGCTGACAAAAATTAATTATCTCAGAGGGGATAAAATATTTCCTTCCAAAATAAACAAAACATCTTGGGCTGAAACAATAGCATATGTAAATAGAGGAGACGGAGGGAAGCTATTTTTCCTTGTCAATTATGTCATCATTTTGGTAGATTTTTCTTTAAATGTCTCTTTAAATGCATTTTATAAACAGGGAAGCTGACAAAAATTAATTATCTCAGAGGGGATAAAATATTTCCTTCCAAAGTAAACAAAACATCTTGGGCTGAAACAATAGCATATGTAAACAGAGGAGACGGAGGGAAGCTATTTTTCCTTGTCAATTATGTCATCATTTTGGTAGATTTTTCTTTAAATGTCTCTTTAAATGCATTGGTGATAAGGACAGTGTGGTTCTTTCCCCACCCTTTTCTACTCAATTATACCTTGCCCTTCTGTTCTCCTTATGCTGACTTCCATCTGAATATCTTGGAGACAGAGCTATAAGCATGGAATATTGATTTAAGCACTAGTATAATAATTACACTTTAGATTCTCTGGTTGCAAAATAGCCTTGTAGACAGATACTAAAATTTGCTGCCCATTGACAACTCTTACAAGGTTGCGGGAGTGACAACATGGAAAGTAACAATGAGGATTTGAGCACTTGTTTCTACTCGCCCCATACCAGTAGAAAAGAAGCTGTTATAAACAATTTCCCTGCATATAAAACCAAACTTGCAATGAGATGCATTTTGCCTGACTCTTGAAAAAAAGGCAAGCCTTAATCCCTGCGATAACCTGTGGAGCTGACAGTTCTTCATTCTTGTCATGGAGGCTGCAACGACTGTGTCCAGAAAGCTAGGCTGATCATACTCGTATCCTAAGGTTCTTGGGGGCCAAGAGCATTTAATTTGCTCCAGTGAAAGAAATTCGGGGGGCCCACACATTTTGAAAATCAGATGATAACATTTAAAAATATAATCTCTGCTTCTTTCCTCTATTTTATTTCCCTACCGGATTATTTCTTGTGTTGAGCTGACCAAGACAGATAGGCCAGCTTCTACCTTCTTAGACTAGTCATTAAGAGGCTTTCTCCTTCAAATCTGTTTCTAAAACTGAGCTTACATGATATTGCCCTTTTCATGTTTGCCTCAGTATTCTCCTCCTTTCCTCCATTCAGGCAACACGTGGATCTGAAAATTAATTCCTAATATTTATTTTTCTCAAACTGAGTTTCTTTTCCCCAAGTCTCTACGATAATGCCTTTGCTTTGTTTACGGTGCTAATGGATACTAACAAGATCTTCTCACAGCTGGGAACATTAAAGAAGATTAGTTTTTGCTTACAGTATATTAAGTATATCATATTTTAAAGTTATAAAATGGAAGTCTTTACAAAATATCCTCAGGTACAAACACATGGTCAAAACATCAATTAAAACTTAAATACAACAGACAAGGAGGGGGCAAAACAAACCTTAACAGAGTGCTATTATAACCAGGCTTGTTATTACACTGCTGGATCATGTTCCTTAAGCTTGAAAACTACATGCAGTAAAGACACGCAGTAATAACTTGTTTTGTAAATCCTAGTAATGTGATCCCTAGTTTTGATAATATCATCCATTTGCCGGCAAAAAACTTTTACCTCACTCCTTACCAACTTCCCCTCTCATAGTCTCTGCCTCTAAATCCCTACAGGTGGGGACAGTGGGGATGGCCTTTGACATGATTTGTATCCCAAAGCAGAGATGATCTGTATTCTCTATGTCCCTTGTATTGTTAAAGGTACAGTTCTGCTTTAAGTAAATCTGATATATGGAAATCCTGAAATGTACACATAGGTTTTAGAGCTTATATCTCTAGCGAACTTTGTTTTCTTCAAAAATCCTCCACCTACAGTACCTGCAGGAATCTTTTCAGTCTCCAATACGAAAGTTTTTTAAAGAGAACTGGATTTGTAAAAATTCCCTTTTCCACCTTCTGGGAACTCAAGGACATGGGTCAGGCATCACTGTAATTAAAGAGTTAAAATGCCTGGGTAGGAGGGACTGGGGAGATAAACCACCCACAGAAAGGGCCACGGGCTTCTCCTTGATCTACAGTCCATCTAGGCGGGCTGACACAGGTCTCAGCAGCCTGCAAACAGAAATTAAAAACTAACAGTCTTATTTATGGCAAAGAGCATTTGCAATCTACTCTGAAATGCACCACAACCAAGATGAATTAATTAATGGATGTCCAGATGGATATATTTATGATAAAGCAAAAACAGTAAACTATTAATAGTGGAATCTGAGTGGTGGGTGACACAGGCGTTCACTGTAAAGTTCTTTCGAACTTGCTTTCATGTTTGAAAATCTTCATATTAAGGGCCGGCCTGGTGGCGCACTGGAGAGTGCGCTGCTTGGGAGCGAGGCGGCGCTCCCGCCGAGGGTTCGGATCCATGTGGAGACCGGTTCCCGCTCACTGGCTGAGCATGGTGTGGGCGCAGCACCAAGGGTTGCGATCCCGTTGTCGGTCCCTGGTACGGGCGCGACACCGAGGGTTGCGATCCCATTACCAGTCAGTAAAAAAAACAAAAAGGGAAAAAAAAAAAAAAAAAAAAAAA